CGTCAGCTAAAAAAACATAGGAAACTCCGGCAGCCGAAGAGACCATTCAGAAGATACGTTTAAAAATGACCAGGTTTTTTTTAAGTAAAGCTGGAAAAAATGGAAAACAGTAAAGAATAAGGGGAATGGGAAAGGCGAAATAGTGACAGTTTTTCGAAGTCGTTGGAATTCCTATCCGATTTTGTGCACCATACGCTTTGAAAGTCAATAGTGCACAAAACTTTTCATGGACCACTTCTTATTCTCAATTTATCGCCCTATAACTCTTAGCCCCTGCAATCGTAGGACGCACCTGGCCGACACATTGTTTTCTATTCAGCCCTTAAGCTTATTTCAGTAAGAGTCTTGCATTCGCCTCGACTATGCTGTTCGATTTTTTGATAATTACCTTATTTTGGAACAGCTTATTCAAGCTACACTGAGCTATCCACCGAGCGAGTGGCTTAGCAAAACTCAGAGACACCAATGTTCAATTCCGGATAAACATTCCTTCGAAGTGCACAATGAACCAAAATGTTACCTCGGAAAGTTGAATACCTTCAAAAAAAACCAATAACCTTAAGTACGTCGAAATTTTAATTCCGCTCTGACTGTCGGGGCGAAGTGATGTTGCCCTAAACTCCTTCCGAATTAGTACGCAAGGTCATACGAGTTGGCTGCTGCCGATAAAATGTCTTCATATCATTTAGTAGAGACAAACAATTCCGGCGATATAACGACTTCCTGGAACTCGCATATTCACCTCTATATGCAATCTCCATTTACCATTGAAGTTTCCCTGAAATAATTTTAACTATGTTTTTAGCCATAAAAAAAGCTGTATTTGCCATTTTTGACTGCACTAGCAAGATAAGAGAAACGTCCATTTCAACATTGCTTCGAGTTCCTCAAATCAATTTTTTCAAGTATTTAGTTCACACTAGGGAAGGAAATGCTTCTTTCGCGGATGGGTCTGTCCAATAACTGTAAAGCGCAAGGTCTAAAAAAGAGCATCGCTGGTACAGCAGTTCGACTATAGAATCCAACAAGCTCTACAAAGTGCACCCCTATAGGTGGCACATGGACAATGGATTCCATTCGAGTTGGACAGGTAATATCTATCCTAGTGTGATTAAACTCACCATGTAAAGCGTGGCATTTGTAGCTCAATTAGGTAGAGCGTTGTCTTGCGTAGGAGGCCTTCGCTCCTATGCGGGTTCAAATTCCGCTGAATGCCGCGAGTTTGTTCACAATTGAGTCAACTAAATTGTGCTTGAATTAAATTATACTGAGAGTAGACTTTTGATGCACCTTTCGCACTCTCTCCTACTCCCTCACTTGGGCCCGATGTCATAGCTGAGTAGAGAAGACCGGAAGAGGGAGAGAACGCAGGTACCTGGTAGAGCCGGAGTCATCCCCAATCTTGCCGCCACACCTGGTTCAGGTCCCACAGAGTCAGGCTGTTAAAAAGATCGCATTAATAAGGAGCCATTGCAGCCTGATTCTCAGTCAGCCAATTGAAGACTACTCACGATCAGACATAGGGCTGGCTAGGACGTCTGAGTGCAGATGTCAGTTAAGATGCCTCCAGGCCACGACGCCTAGCATACCATTCCATACCATACCATTCCATAGCATACCATACCCTTTCCGACGGAATCCGAAACGTCAGGCAAATAAGACTCTTATTACAGTGATCGCATCCTCTCCTTCTCACCAGTCAACTATACGAAATCCTGCGTAGTTACGTCACGTGGATAAGCCACCTCATTAAGCCATTGGAAAGGCAAACCGGGAGCCTCAATGTGCGCCTAAGATCAACGACTATTGCTCGAAGTGTCGTTCTTCGCATTAAAGAGAATACTTGAGTTAATTTAGGTTACGAAGAGTTTTGGAAATCATAAGATCACTCTGTTATTTGAGAATTGCAGAATTACACTGACTAAGTTTTTCATTAGTAGATCTAAGTATTCCATAATGCTACTTTTAACTTTCAGAGGGGCAGCAGTTCTTGCGTATGAAATTGTACCGTACTCATCGCTATGTTGTGCTCCATTTCTCGTTGCATCCTAGGAGGAGGTTTTCGAGAGTGGCCGTTTACATGAAAATGCCCAGCAACGGATAAAGTCAGACAAGTAGATATCGCATGACTAAAAGTGCATAGCTAGGCAGTAATGCAATTTTACTGGGCTACAGCTGGGTTGCTGCTGTAATTGCGCAGGAAGATTTTTCTCAGGACCCCTAATTAGTGACTCAGAGTATTGGGGTTTGACAAAGAGAAGAAGGGCTGGAATGGTCAATTCTGGCTTATTAATCGTAGTCAGCCAGTCATACCCAACCCCAAGTGGTGCACTACCCGAGGCTCGAACTTGCGACCTTTTGATCAGAGTCTAATGCTCTAACCAATGAGCCACGAGCTCGTTGTTTTGCCAATCTAGGTCGGGATATATTGACGTTCGTTGATGAAGGTTCATCGATCACTTCTGGAACTCACTCTTTCTGCTCTGCCTTGGCGTTTGAGTTTAATAGATATTGGGGTGTAGGTTTACAAATTGCAAGCCAGTCTCATACGTTTTTTAGAAGGAGTACAAACTTCGATCATATATGCAGCCTGCATCTCGTTAGCTTTCAAGGTGGCCCTTTTGACTAGGCTGCACAGCTTTCCGCTACATGCCACCTAAAGGTTAGTTCGTTTCCGATGTAGCCTGACGCAGGACACAAGTCACCGAAAACATGCACCATGTGCAGTTCTGCTTATTTACGTTCAAACGAGAAATTTGACGCGAAGGTCCGCTGCGCACGCGTGATAATTTACTGGAATGTTAGGTGTATTTGCACCGAGCTAGCCTAGCCAATCAGCTTTGAGCACCTCTTACCAATGAGGAACAGCGGTGAAGTTTATTTAAAGCATGCATTGACGCCACGATATTTGACAGGGAAGCAGCCGCTGAGGTCAATCTAACGCCTGACTGCCAATGCGCTCGTGGAATTTCCTGGTTTGTTTCATCCTTGGTGTGGCGTTCCTCGCCAACGCACAAAGATTTTATGAACGCGAAGCAGATGCCCCGCGCGGTCGCTTTTTACCCTGGACTCGCCTCGTACCATCCGTTACGAAGACTCGCGCAAATAAAATCATAGTAGTGAATACTTGGCCACTGACAGGACCGAATGACGCTGCCTGGAAGGTGCTTAGCCGAAGAGGCACGGCTGTGGACGCCGTGGTCGCCGGTTGCAGTGCAGCTGAGGAGGATCGCGAGATAACCTCGGTGGGCTGGGGTGGCTCTCCGGATGAGCGTGGCAATACCACGTTGGATGCGATGGTCATGGATGGAGACAGCATGAAAGTAAGCCTGTGTGCCATAGTGAGGACGTTGATAATTTCGCTGGCCTGTAAATCCGACTCCTCTGTGATTTTTATAGTCTCGTAAGTACCACATTCCTTCCATTAAAAAGTCCATACTGAAATACCCATTCGTTGAAAGTTCGAGAATGCCGTTATATTACGGTCAAAAAAGGTGGTTACAGTCTCATCTATTGCTATTGAAGCTACTTAAGCCGCCTTTTCAATTGCCGTGTGAATGAACGCGGCTGGAAGCAAGAGCAATATTCCATGCTCTAAAAAACGATAGGCAATTCTGATGTTGTAAGCGGTTACTATACCCGACAGATAATTTCATTTATTAATGTCTCAACTAGAAATGGCCTGTAAGGGCATATCCCAACAACTTAAAGGCGATGTGTTGTGGATGTTGTTGAGTACAGAAACTGGAGCGGCCAGTACGGCAACCTCCATGAAAGTTGAGCAGTAGTCATTTACGATTTTCAACCCTCATGTATTTACGTTTGCCTCATTCAACCTTGTGAAGAGGCTGGGGTAGCTCAGCGATGTAAAGGGTTCAAATTATTTCACCGAATAGAATAAATGAAACGTAGTTTTGCGTCTATCCATTAGACTCGCTGGGATCTGTGCTTAAATACGATCAATGACAAGATTAGTTTCCTGAATAATGTTTACGTTGGAAACGGATATCTGGAGAAAATTATAAATATGCATCGCCATCCTCGACATGAAAGTACTGCAGAAATATTCCTGCCAAAAAGCCGATTAGTATTTATCTTCCTTCCAAGGGTGATAATGTATCACACGTGATCAAGCAATGGCTTTGATGAAGAACTTATATCACCTCTAAATGTTTGTTCACAAGCACTACAACGGTTATTTCAGTGAGGCCAACTAACGATGTTATGTCCGCGTACGCCACCTCAAACTGTATTGGTGAGTTTACATGCAGTTGCGGATACAAATACAGTAGGCGCACGCAATCACAATTGACATCTCTGTCATTTTAACATACACCGGAAAAGCGGAGATGAAGGTGCTCATGAGTTCAGTTGGGAAGCACCTGGTGGACACCGGCCAGACGTTGGCTCAACTACCTGCATTTAAGATGATATTTTGGACGATGACTGCGTATTTTGTACGCTTTGCAGAGGATGCTGCAATACTGAGGAGAAAATCAGAAATCTGCTAGTAGCCGGATCACGTGATCGACCGCATACAGCCATGGTAAGGCGTGATAATGGCCGTAATCCCATTCCCTCTCCTGTCCTCTCACGCCCCTAATCCCGCGCTTTAGAGTTTTAATCACACTTGATGTGTTTTCACTGTTCTGCTTATAAAACTCTCCTCCCCCTACCACTCACCACGTGCACGCGCAAGTTAGACAAACAGTTCATGCTTTATTTACTTATCACAATTCATGTCTCCTGGTCGATCTTTCACCTGGCAGTTTGTCTTACCTGAGTAATAGGCAATGACCCTACGCAGTCGGAGAAAAGGTCACGAAGTTTTCTGACGTTTGTAAATTCT